GGCCGACCTTGGTCCCTGTAACCCAGCCTCGGTGGTCCAGCTGCGCGTTCTCCACGCGCCCACGCAAGTATCGCGTATAGATGTCATCTCTTCCCTCTCGGGCCCGGACGAAGTAACCCGAACTCCTGATCTAACCACAGACGAGGCACAACACAAACCCAGGGGGAGCGTACGGACTGCCGCGCACCGGAGCAGGTTTACCGAGCTCATTTCTTTTCTCGCCTACATACCCAGCCATAGAACACCCGGACAGCCACATGCCAAAAAAAGGATCAGACCGGCACTGAATGTAAGCACGCTCGCGCCTGTTCGCGGACACCGAGCCCAGATAAATACCATAGCGCAGATGCCGGCAGCCGCCCCACGTCCTGGCTTCACGCAATCCCGGTCCATCGCAAACCTGGTCTCCAATCGAGGACCCTCGTGAACGGCTCCAGCTAGTTCTCACGTGAATCCTAGCTTCGAGCCATGGGTACTCGAACACACGATTAGCGCAACATCGGCCGAACTACCGACGCAAGCGCCAGCACAGGAGGAGCTGGAGCAAAACTATAGGAAGGGGGACCCACAGCAACTCGAGCACCCCATGACCCGACATGGACTACGCGCGCGCACCGGAAAAAAACTAGGGGGCAGGAATTTCGTTAGCGGCACACGCACTGTGTCTACAAACCGCTAGCGTCCACGACAAGTGAAACCAGCGCTCGCCCGATACCGAAATCCCGCGCGCGGACCCTGCGAAAGCAGGCCAGCGGCAAACAAGCTCAGAGTCACCCTACGACCAAGGCACCCGTACGACTCCGCCGGGGGCCGACGCAAGCGGTATGGTTGCACACGAAGGAAGAATGACCGGCTGGGGGAAGGGCCCAGCCTCGGATACGGAGTAAAGACGACGAGATATAGACCAGCACGGTACCCGAAATAAGACGGACACTACTAAGGGACCCAGAAAGTTGGTCCGACGAGAAGCGAAGGGCCACGAGCCGCAGAAACGCGTGAGGGTTCAGGCTAGCACAGCTGCAAACCCCACCCCTCCGATTGCGAGGTGCGCGAAAGAGCATCCAGAGTATGCCTGTGACAGCACCTATGTGCCTTCGCCGGGACGTGGGCCGCTCCCACGACTGCTAGGATCGCCGCTAGCGATCAGCGAGCGTGCCCTAGTCCGACCTCTGCGATAAGTACAAAATGAGCGCGGACCATGCACCTGGACGGGGCATGGGCACATTACCTGCGCATGGAGGTCCACGGCAATTTGATCAGACGGCAAGATTCATCGCAATCTGCATGCACCCCCAATAGAGCCGCCGCTCTCTCTCAACTCGAATTCTCGGGTCCTGACTTCAACAATTCAGAACGCCACACCGCGCCCCCCGGCACTATGACCAAGAGACTGCTGCTCCAACATAAAACGAGACGAGGCAGCGGAACAACGGACTGTCTCGTTCGGATCGGGAACATGACCGACCCACCCCGCGACAAATCCCCAGATTAACGCGTTCTTGCTACTCAACTTATAAAAGACGATGTGAGCCAAGCGCGCCACCCCTCAGAAACTGGCCCTGCGCCCTCGCAACTCCCGCGTTTTTTAGAAACTACAGGACTCTAAGTTCACCCACGTCGAATCGATCTGACCCCACCACCCAAGATACCTTATTAATTCTAGCAGGGGCTCATCCACTACACTAGCTGTAACGCCAGCTCCGAGGGCAACATGCTAAATTCCTGTCGAAATCGATAAACGTAGAAAAAGAAACAGTTACATACTGCGTAAAGAATCCCGTCCCGGGGCGACTAGTCCACCGAACGAAGCCTCGTAGACCAGCCCAAACACCCAATGGCAGCCCCTGGTCTGCGCCTAGCATGAGCCCGGCGAAAACAACGTCACCCATAAGGCAGCGCCGCGTATTCACGAGCCGGGGTGCTCCGGCTAGCGCAGTGTACACCGGGCTATCGCGGCCGAACGCCTAGTCAGCCTGTCAGACCACAGCGAACTCGTCTCTTCCTCTCACTCAGCTCTAACGGTCCCGTCACAGGTTAATCGTCCGGATGGTCTCCGAAAGCCTCCTCAATAAAATAACTCTCAACGGCGGAGGACCAACCGACACAGCGAGAGTTACAACCCGATACCCCTCGGTTACCCAACAAGCAGGACCCTGCGTAGAGGTCAACCGATCCCAACCCCACATTCGCACCGACCGACGAGAGCACTAGTGTCGCCCGGTTAAAGGGCACTTTTCCAGTGCGGACCGGTCCCCACAAAGGGGTGCAACCGTAGCCGCTCGGTTGGACAGTCGAGTGTCTCGCAGCATGTACAGAAAGGACAACCGATATAGCACCAAATATAGTTTAGTCCGGGCGGCTTCAGCACCGCACGACTTAATCAGCTGTTATCGCTAGGCCCAACGAAAACCCAAGTGCTGAACCAGCGGTTGCTCCCGGATAACAGCAACACCTCGCCTTCTACAAACTGCCGCCCGCCCGGAAAGCGGCCGCCCCTTTG